AAAATTTCTGACTGCAGAGGAGACACAGGAGGAGACAGAGAGGTCCTTTATAATACAGTAGATTACCTCACCCTCAACATGCCCGGACATGTCTGAAGGGGCCATCCTCACAGCCAATCAAATGGCTCTTCACACCCATTTAGTTAAAAATACATCGGCAGATTTAGCAGAATGAAGCAAAATGTACTGTTTGCTGCACGGACACTGCCCCCTGTCTGCATTTTCTTACTGTTCCTCGTGATTGCACATGGTCAAAACAGTCTTCCTCACCGGTGAAAACAAACCCAGTTGGTAACAATATTGATGAAAGCATGTAGGAATTTTAGAGTTGAGACTGTACCGTAGCTGTTAGTGGGACAAAACCAAGTTATTGTCATGATGGAGTATATATTTTTCTATCTGTTTCACTGACCTTGTGACCAGGATGTCAGAACCATTGGAGACAATGGGCTGTGTTTGTGAAATAAGCAACAACTGAACACACTTGAATGTTCTGTTGCAGGTTAAGGACAACATTCGCTGAAGTATAAACATCAGTTTAGCAGACTGCCCCGTGGCGTAGTTTTGGATCAATTTGAAAGAAAATGAAGAAACTTTTGCGAAGATTGGTCAGAGTTTGTTTTCCATCTTCACACTTATCTCTATCCCAGATTTGCAGCGTGTCCGCCGCAGTGTCTGTAAGTTATTGGAAAAAAAAAAAAATGCACCGCATTTCATTTTGTTATGGTTAAGCTTTCAATAACCCCCCAATAATACATCTTTTGTATGATGGGGCAGCTGTGTTAGCTGGTGGCTTTGTTGCTGCGTTTATGAATCCCATCCTTGTGAGTTTAGTTTCACAGTTGTGCAACAACAGCAGTGAGGGTACAGAGGGGGAGTTTGTCACAACGATATAAACAACGACCCTTGCAGTGATACTTGTGAGGTACAGGGAATAGGAGGCTCTAGTGGAGAGCCTGGCTCAGCTGCATGAGCGCAGGGCAGCCTCTGCAGCATCCTTNGCAGGCTTAGGGAGATGCAAGGACTCCTGACAGCCACATTATTCTTTAAAAGCCCATGCTGCTCCTAGAGTTGACAGCTTGTTCAGCAGTAGTGACGTTTGTGGTAGAGGTTGTGCTGCTGCCCAAGCCTACAGTGCTGGTGCTGGGTTCTATGGTTTTCCCTCCATGATATCAGGGGTGACATTTGATGACGACGCCACGGTGGTATAACTAACTTTTTTTTAAAATGGAAAATACAAATGTCCTTTTATTGACTTTTCCTCTTGGTCTCTGCTCAGTTTTCCACAGAGAGTTTTATGGATTCGAAAAAAAAAAAAAAACAGGGCAGTGGGGCTAATTGGCTAATTGGATTTCCATCAAAGACCATTAGGGAAAACAAAGACTGTAAAAGTAGAACAAGGAGCTGGGTTATATGTCAAGAGTCGGTGGGCATGAGTATGCCTAAGGACACACAAGTGTGACTGTGTAAGAGTAACTAGAAGGTTCTCTACACTTCTACAGTCTATTGATTTTTCATCTGTCACTGTTTTACCACACACTCCTGACCCCCTCCCACCACCACCCCGCCACACACACACACCTATATTTTTCTGTCTCCCACTTTCTCCATTTTTCTCTGTTGATTTCAACGTAGGATTAACAATGTCATGAATGCCTGAATCCCACATCAGGCCTCACTTACGCTTCTTGCTGCTGCTGCGAGCGGCCAGGCTGGTTGTGCTGCCTGATTGGCTGTTGTCCTCCATGCTGGGGTCAAAAGCGGGATTGACCAAACCTTGCTCATCTGACAGGAGGGCAACCGCAGCAGAGGACGTGGGCCCGTCGCCGGGCAGCGTTGCAATGGTGAGTTCTGACGTACTGTCGGTGCATTCGCCCTCCTGTGAGCGCCTCTTCCTGTCTGCGGAGAGCCCATAGTGTGAGGCTCCCTTACACCTGCACACACAGTATACACACCTCAATGTCAGAATGTACAATAGCCATCATGTGTTCATTATGGCAAATGGATAAAACAGTGGAAATGATGAATTGACCTACAGTACATTTTGTTGTCACTGCCATTGAGTTAAAGGTGAAAAACTCTTATTAACGTTCAGGTCAAAGGTCAATTTGGTTACAGGAGCAATTTCTCCAGCCTGAGGCTTTTAGTACATGGACCGCCCAAAAGCAGGATTGGTAATCTTAATCCGCAATCTGTATCCTAATGATATTTACAATTCAATAAGTAGTTACAACATTCCATAAAAAGGACGAAGACAAAACATGGTTGTATCTAGATCACATTCAAAATGATTCCACACAAGGTCTGTTGATTGATACATTTCTCAATATGGAGCAAAGAAAAGCAACTGTCATACAAGAGATTAAACTAACAGATTATTTCTATGTATGGTAAAAAAAAACAAAAACAAAACCATCAGACCCATAACGTTAAATTACAAATTTAAGTTCTTGAAAGGATCTCTAAAGAGTGTGGTATTCTTCTGTTGGATATTTCCTTCCACCTGTAAGCCATAAAACCTTTGAGGTTGCTCCATCAGAGGCAGGAATAACACTGGCCTGTCTCTGTGGCTGTCTCCGTGGGGCCATCAGCGCAAACATCAACTGGGTTTTAATGAGCTGGATCAAAACCAGGCTCTGCTTCAACCCTAGCTCAGAAGAAAACAGGAGTAGCAGCAGCCGTTCTCCTGGGCTGTAAGATAGGTGGGCTATAACTGAATATTTAATGGCAGCGTAAACACAGGGAAAACCAAGGATGCATAAAACACTGGCCATATTTGGCGTGATAGGATTACTTAGTGAAGAGAAACAACTAGATTTCAAGCAAAGGATATCATTTAAAAACCAACAGTTCTCTAAGACTTTGTATCATAAACCATGTGTTTATTAAAGGTGTAATTGGTTGTTTTTATTATTATTGTAAGGATTTTACAAAAGATGAAACAGGCAAACTTAATCATTTTTTAATTGCCAGTCACCAGGGGTCGCTACACCAGTGATGATTAGGTACAATTTTTACACAAAATGCCCTGATTCGGGGACTTGTTACAGTTCTGAGTCACTATGGCCATCATATTGTTGTCAAAAAGTCCTCACACAAACTGCTCAAGTCCTTTAATCCAACCTGAATAACTTCCACTTCTACAACACTGAAGGCTGACCTGTGCTCTCTTTCCTAGCCGAGTCATATCCTGTGTTCAGTAGTAATTCATCCCACTCATGCTTCCCAAAGAACCAGGGATTGACCTTCCTCTATGTTACTGGATGTTATTGAATTTATTAACTGTTTATTATTATTATTTTAACTGTTATAAAGCTTACGTACAGTATGTGTAATGTCAGTCTTGACTCACTAACATAACACTACAAAACATTGGATGGTCAACCATGTGAGGGCGCTAAGTTATATATCTTTATTGTTTTAGTTATTACACTAATAAGTATTCTGTTTGTTCTTTACACCAGCATGTCCCTCAACTGAGTAAATAAGCAATATTTTTGATTAAAAACCTAGGAAAATACCATCACTGCAGATACTCACAATAATAATACGCACTGGTATCTGCATCCACTGACTGTATGGAGTTAAAGACTAAGTGAACATTCCTTTTTTGTGCAGTACTGCTGTCGAATGCAGAAATATTCAACTAATACATCCACGTTCATAGCTAAAATATTATAGAAACCAACGAAGGTGTACAGTATTCTTTAGTGAGCTGTTACTTCACAAACTCTTCTATTTGTCTTCAGCACCTATCTTTGTTCAGTGTCTGACTGCTTAATGAATGTTTCTAATTGAGATCTGTGGGAATTAGAGATGCCTTGAAGCTGTGAGTGTACCTCAGCTGTGTTCATCTTAAACGTACGACCTGTGGTGTCCAAGGACAGAGTCTGTGCTGTCTGAGGTTCCAGGCAGCTGAGTGTGACAGGAAAGCCTTGTCTTTCTCACTAGGGTGGTCTCGGGGCTTTAGGGCCAAAGTAAACAAGTCAATTATGTCTGTACGACGTGGAGGCGGAATGCTTTCCACACACACACATACTTGGCATACATATTTTCTTCCTCGCCGTCGTTTCTTCACAAACATACCTCTGGGTGTAACCACGAAAAAATTGAATGTTTACGCAAAGCTGTCAGGGCAATCATTATTACAAGTAAGCTATTTATTGCAGCAGCGTTCTCTTCTGAAGCTTCAATTCAAACGTATGGCAAATAAAAGATGATAATTACCCTCCCAGCTAATTACCCGTGACGCTTTTAGAGACCTTCGCTTTGACACTATATCATTAATGTGATGTCTTACTCATCTAGCATGTTAATTTCTCCAATTATTTTTCAGGGTGAGTGGATTATCAAGACTAGCCCTAATAATCCCTCTGCCCCATAATCTACTGAAAATGTTCATTTTATCCCAGCTGAGGATCCAGATTGTTTTTTTTTTTTCCGCTTTATTTGCTCAGCACTCCCTTGAAAAGGAGATTTCATATCTCAAATAAATAACTAAAATAACTACTGTTGTTCTTATTTATTTATATAAGTACTGAAATATATTAGATAATAAATAATCCGAGCCCAAACTGGGATTGTTGCTGTTGCTTATATTAGGTGTTAGAACACGAGACAAAAATAAACCAATCATCAGTTATATTTTCAGCCTGGCAGTTTCTCTCCTTTACTTCACTGTGTGATAAATATGGGAGGTTTTCCTTGTGTGACAAAGAGTGTGACAGCAGCTAACAGAATTAGTCTATTTTCAGAGCTCTGATAGAACTGCAGTGACACAGACACAGTTGGTGCAATATTCCATCCTGTCTCTGTTAGTCAACATGTTCTTACCACCAAACCAACACAACAGCTTGGATTATGATAGTATAAAAAAGTATAACAAACCTTAAAGATGCGACTGAGCAGATACATGAGCAGACCAGGAGATAATACGGTAACTATATACTATAGTAGCTTTGGGCTGAGAGAACAACACCTCAGAGAGTTGTTGTTGTCCTAGATGTTTCCCATAACACACTTTCTTTTTGAGTTGAAAAACATTAACACTGTCTACTGGAATCCTCATTGATTTATATTTTATTTTACTATACTATACTATACTATACTATACTATACTATACTATACTATACTATACTATACTATACACTTTACTATATACAAACACTGCATTACACTGTTCTGCAGTGTACTGTGCAGCTGTAGCACCCAGTTAGATTTGGTTAAATATACAGTACATAATTTTGCAGAGAAATATTACTGCAGTGGTGGACAATGTGGGGGGCGAGCTCTCCCTTTGGGGCACTGAGCAGAGCTGTAGGGGCGTGGGGATGTGGGAGAGGGTGCTGTCAAAGCAGATACCTTTCAGTATATATCTATATCTATATCTATCTATATATATACACACACACACACACACATATATATATGTATATATATGTATATATATATAGCGTTACAATTGAAAGAGAGCACCGATTTGTAATTTTATCACCTTTGCTATAACAGAACAATTGACAGAATAGAATAGAATGCCACTATACTATACACTATACTGCGCTATGCTATACTATGCTATATAGAGTATAAGGAAATAAAAAGGGTGGTGAGAGGTGGGGGAGTTCAGAGCTGTGGAGTAATCTAGTTAATGTTGTGTAGTAGTGTTAATTAGAGGATGGACTACTGTGTTGATTGCTGTGAGGGTTAATCTCATGTTCTTGATTCTCATGAAGATCTACATCCATTATCCATCAGTAAGAGGTCAGGCCCTAGTTAGGCGTGACTGGTTACTAGTCTTTGACAGTGAGTGTTCAAAAACCAAAAGTGAACGTGTTCATCAGTTCACACTGGACTTAAATCCTGCCTTTGTGTTTAAACTTTTAATGACACTCCTGAGCACAGGGCTGGCCGGGCAGGTTTTTCCTCACTTGCCGTGACGCATTGTGTGTTTTAAATGTTACACTGAAGAGGCCGCCCATCTACCACAGTGTTCACTGACACTGGTACTGAAACGCTGAGTCATCTTTTTCTTTTTTAGCCAATCGATCTGTGCCATCATCAGTTCAGTCCTGACCCCATGATCAGGCTGGAAGGGACGTTCATGCACTGTTTACTCTGTCAGTGTCTGGTTTCAACCATGATGACAATCTCAAAGAAAATACCTGTCAAAAAAAAAGAGCGGGGGTGGGAGGGGCCTGACAGCTGATTCAATCAGTGCTCCGTGGCAGAGCGAGCCCTCTGCTGTATGTAAGGTGTTCAAAAGCAAAATGTTCTCTAACCTGGTACTTACATTTTCTTCAATGGATCCCACAGTAGTAGGACACATCACTACTACAGCAGATGATCATAAAGTATGACCACCAGGCTGCCATCTTAAATCGCCGCTGGCACCTTTTAACCTATATTTCTCTCTGGTTGTCACACTGGCCCCTGGCTGTGTCCTGCTTTCTCTGCCTCCATGTGCCACTGTTCAACTGCCTGATACACAGTAGTCCTGACAGTCAGTAGGCTAGTGTTCATATGACAGTTTACCTACACACAAACACGCTGGGCTGGGTTCCTGCTCAGTCAGCTGCTCAATCTAAACTCAATAAAAAGACGTCATGCTTCAAAAACTGTTAGCAGCAGTCAGGCTGTAATGTACGGCAGCCATTAATCATTAAAGCATCCATCAAACACACTTATGTTAATCTGAAATGTCCTTGTCACAGTGGTAAATGTCACCCAGTCGTGTCATGTGTCATTTGCAGTGTTAAATTTTATACATCTGTTTGTTTGCAAACAACTTTGCTCCGTCCTCTGTGCACACTCTTCCCTCATGTTTTCCTTCATGCTCGATTATGTGCGCGGCGACTACTGATTCACACCGTTGTTCTTGTTGACTTTGTCCAGTCGTGCATAGAAACGCTCCCGTGATAGAGCAGTGCGAGTGCT